GTGTCTCTGTCTCCTCACAGCCTTTCACTGATGTGACCCACAAGGTCCTTTCATTCCTCAGCACTCTTTTTATGTTCCAGAATTCTCTTGGACTGTGTTCTATCAGAGGAGCCCGCCACTCCAACAGTTTACTTCATGATGCAGTATCAATGTGTTACTCCTTTAAATGAACTTCTCTTCAGAAGTTTTCTGAAAGGAGTTCATCCTCCAAAGGAGTATCTATGATTACACAACTTCCATAAATTCCCTGCTCTGTTGATGGGGAGATGCTTCAGGGAGGAGATTTTCATCATGTCTCCGGTCCCTCTCGCTTGACCGACATGTAAGTTAGCCCTAGATGCTAGCCAGTAAGTAGAAAGCCTGGCTCTTACTTGAAGAAGAAACTATTATTTTTGAAGAGGTTGTGATTGAAAGATGAGCTCTCTATCAGCCAAGTACCGTGATGCTCCTTGAAAATTTATCTACCTATCTTTTTAAAAATATATAATAACACTTTGGTACCTGTTGTTCCGGTCTCTTTTTCTGTTCCTGTCTTGCATAGGAGGCACACAGTTGCTGCATGTCCCTTGTGCCATTGCTACCATGTTGTCACTTTGTCTCACCCTGTGTGAACTCCCTTCTGCCTCCAAAAGCCATCAGAGGTGTAATTAGTGATTATTTCTCCAGAAATGTCGTGAAGGGGATATAAGAGCCCTGTGACAAGCATGTGTATTGCTTCCTGGATGAAGGTTAGAATTTGGAAGGGTTGGGGAGAGGTTCGAGGTTGGAGGGAAAACTACATTCTGCCCTTTATGACCTCTGTGAAATCACAGACAAAGCATCTTCCTGTGTGCAAAGATAGGGCCCGTGAATCAAATATTTCCCAACTTTGTATGGCATTAAACCTGTAAATATGGAGCCTCCATATCAAATACAATATACTTTATAATATATTCTGAAGAAATTCAGAGATGAGGAAATAGGATTCTAAGTAAAAGACCTTGAACACTGCTTAAAGAAGGGTAAGTAGGAAACATTCTACAATTTTCTTATGCCTTTCAATCCCTTTAGCAATAGTGATATAGCTAATCAATAGATTTAATCCTGTCTTTTCCATTTCCTTCCCCTTTTCCTTCTTTCTTCCTTCATCTTTTCTGCTTCATTTTCTCATCTTCAGTTGTAAATTTTTTATTTTCAGTTATAAAGCCAGTACAACTATAAACACACACACACACACACACACACACCCCACTGGTTATTAACAATTAGATTTTTTTTTTCATGCTTTGGAAAGTTACATTTTCTCTTTCAGAACCATAAGATATTAATAATTTTCTATTTATTTGAATCCCTTCAAAATAAAATACTGCTAACGAGGGAAGTTATTTCTAAACAATTGATATATGCTATAGATAATATGGTCATAGAAGAGTTTCTATGATTTTTTTGTTATTAATCACTATAATCACTCTGATTACAATGATGATTAACTCACAGCGAGTAATGCATATGCTTGCGATGTTTATCTGCTTTCAAAGGATTTATGTTCATCCATCTAGTCTGTTTCACACATTCTCACCTCACCCTTTTGTAGCTGTGAGACTCTCGTTTGGGTAGCCTATGGCCACAAAACAACTCGTGAACAGGAGAATAAAGCCTGTGGTTTCTCCTACATTATTGCTGGACCATAGCCTTCTAAACTCCCTGGGTCAGTGATGATCAAGTATTCTAAAACTCGAGTGTATACACACACACACACACACACACACACACACACACACACACACATATGTATACACACACATACATATATATGTATATATACATACTTTTTCGTAACCAGCACTCTGTTATCTTTTAATGAATTTTCTCAAGAGTCAATTCAAGCCATTGTTCATATTTAAAGCTGTTTTATTTAGTGCCTGAAACTCAAGTAGAACTTGAGAATGATTTTTGCTTTATCTCTAGTGTTGGGTGAACCTTACCATTTGCCAATCTACATGGAAATAATTAAAATAAACAGACTATTTAAGTGCAATTATATCTAACAATAAATAAAAATGGACACAGAACTTCTATAGCTGTATCCATAGGCTTCCTTTGGTCTCCTAGGACCCAAGATCGCTGGGTGCTGGTTTTCTTGCTACTGCAGAGCAAGAAAACCAACCTTCTTGAAAAAGTCCCTCACCTTTAGTGAGGACTGGACAATCTAGCACAGAAAACAGTTTATCAGAGGGCCTCGAGTCACTCAGATTCTTAGGCCCCATCTCAGCTCCCCTGAACAACAGCCTCAGAAATCTGCATTAAAACTAGCTTCTTGGGTGTTTCTTATGTATCTTTTGCTTTCAAGCCACTGCCTTAGGGTAAGGGTGATCATAAGATCTGTGAAGACTTCTAATTCCTTAACCTTACATTTGCTACATTATTCGTTCCCACGCTCTCAACTAATCGTTAGTTTCATGGAACTTCTAAATCCGTGAACTCCTTTCAAAATAGTAACAATGAGAGGTCAGAATGATATGAATCTTTCCATTGCTTGTCTTGGCTCGTACTGTAAACAATCAAAAAGGACATGCCACATATATTCTGCCCATTGTGATTAGAAGACAGATTAAGCAATACAGGGACCCAGTTCTTCATCCTTATGGATCTGAGGGTCAGTCCTTATTTTTTCTTGGGTGAGCTCTGCTCTTGGATCCCAGTATCTCAGCAAAACCTGTAAAATGGGTTTCAGATCCCATGACATCTACCATCAGTGACAACAGAGAGGAGCACACATTCATGCTTCTGTGGCTGCCAGCGGCTTATGAGCCTCGATTCCTGGCAACCAGGACCAGTCCCATTCATAATCACTTGAGAAATGTGGCTTTTCCCTAAAAAGACTTTCAATTAATACAAATATTCCTTATGACCTTGATAATTACCTCTGCGTGCTGATCTGTCATATAAGGCCTTCACAACATTGTCATCCCAGGCGACAAGGGGATCCATATTCGCAGCCTTTTAACCTCTCTGCGTAGCCAGCTGCTACTATTAACTTCTCTTGGATCCAGATATTTTTAACACTTCAGATTAGGGGGTTCTCTGATGAGCCTGTTTCTTGTTCCAACATTTTTCTGACACGAGCAAACATGTTCTCAAGCTGGCTTACAGCAGCAAGTGTGGAGAATATATTTTTTTTTTGAAAAATATTAATAAAAGCATTAAATGACTAGTAGGTTTTTTGTATGCGGCAACTCCGCCTTATAAAGTTAGTGAAAATTTCCAAGCTATGTGTGACAAAGTAATTTTGAAGATAAGACCTTTTATGTTTTGTTACCAGGGTACCCAAGTAGGAAAAATATGGCTAGCTGGTCAGTAGTGTATTGTAAAGTGATTTTGTTTTCCACACTCATCTCATAGGCTAAAAACTGGTGTTAGTTTAATTATTTGGAATGCTGCCAATATGGTGGGCTTCTTATAGCAGTAGGGAGGGGGCAGGGCAGACCATTGGAGACCAGAACCCACCAATATTATCCAGAATCCTTTTGGGACCTCACATGAAGGAACAGAAACATCTTCTACTGGATAAACACCTTCCAGAATGGCCTTTCCTCTGATTTATGCATAGCCCAGCAAAGAGTCACATCCCTTCAGTATCCTCCCAGAGATTACATGACTTGTTTCCAGTCACAAAATTACTGAGCAGTTAAAGAGAGATTATGACTTATAGTTGCCTACTTCTACTCTGGTGCTCTTCTGACAGTACTCTTCAGCTCTAATGAGAAAACATTTAAGACCCTTCAAAGGCAGATGAGAGATAAGTCATTCACTTTCACTAACACCCCTTTGAGATGCAGGGAGATGACTGAATTTTTTGCACATTTTGCCTTGACACCCCTGTCTTTCACAATTACTAGAAATGGGTATTATTTACTGATTATTTTGCTTGCAATCGATTTGCATACTGTTATTGCATATTGTTAAGTGGTTTGCTGATTAATAATGTTGATTTTGACTAATTGTAATAGAATAAACAAATAAGTTTGTAAATTTAGATATTTTGTATAATTTAGTTGCTAAATGGTATCATAGAGCTGTTGGAGATTATTCTACCCAAATTCCTTGCAGGGAAATCCTGTCTCCAATTTCCTCTCATATTCTATATTAATGTTTAAAGGTCTCCCTCCTTAAAAAATTCATTTGCTTGTTTGGGTTTTAAAGCAAACTTCTCATAGGCAAATACAGCTCTAAAGCTCAGGGTTAAAATAAATACTTTTAAATTCAGAACATGGTAGTTACCTTCTAAATGATTTCTAAAGGGTCAGAGAAGAATAAAATATTTAGTTTGAATATATTTTCATGACCTTGATTGAATCAATATGATGTGCAGCATTAACAACAAATTATATTATAGCAATATAAAATATTAATATAATTAATAATTATTTGAATAAATACCAGATACTTATATTAATACAGGATTGTTGAGTCACAGAATTTCTGAGCTGTTAGGAAACATTTGCTGGTGAGGTCTCTGGGGTCCTGAGGGGTTTTGTAATTAACACACACACACGCACACACACACACACACACACACACACACACAGACACTTGTTAGTTGTTGTGTTGGTTATGTGAACTATTTAGTATATTCTGTACTTAGGTAATGTATGTATGCTTATGCTTTGGTATATTTTGTATTTTTAATTGTTTTCTAATATTTCAAAAAAATTTGCAACCTGAATTTGTCATTTATCTTCTAAACATCTATATTGCCATTGATTAATTTTTCTTTCTGCTGTTTCATAAACACCATAAATGTTTTTAATTTGGAAATCAGGTTAAATAGTAAAGAGAATCTAAAAAAGAGTTTGTACCATAGGTATTTTAATGGTTTATGTTCTTTTTTTTAAAGCTACATTTTAATATGCTTTGATAAAACTGTATTTCTCTAAGAAGGTATTAAGTTTGGTGGCTGCAAACAATTCCCCAGTGGAATGTCTCACATTAATTTTCCATGTGCTCTCTTTTACTTATAGTTTCATTGTCCACATGTTTAAAGTCTAACAGAAAAAAAAAATCACTGGATGTGAAGTTGGGAGACAGAGCCAAGTCTACATCTACATCGTCATGCTGGTAACCTTGGGTAAATTTTATTTTTGTGCTTCCATTTCATTTTTTTTAAAAATGAGTAGTTGAAAGCATCAAAGACTCTTTCCCACAATTCAAACACTCCATGAGCTCAAAAGAAGATTTGATTGAAAGAAATGTGTGGGCATCATTACCTGGCTGCCCAGTATTTTCATGGTCACACACTTGTTACATACATCTGAAGTTTCTTTAAGGAAATTAACTCTTTTTAAGTGTGAGCTATGGGTATCAAGACAAGTGGGATAAGTGGAAAAGGAAGGAGAAATAAGTTAATGACAAAGGAGGGATTGTGGGTGGTGGAAATGATTCCCTTTTTACTTCTTTATATCTAAAGTCTAGTTATTCCTACTTGAAGACTTTACTGGCACCAGGTATTATCAACAGGGATGAGTAATATGTAATTTTTATCTTTACTGGGTTACATTTGGCCCATAGACAGTTGACAGCTGTCAGTCAGGTGGCTGGTCAATGAGGAGATAACATTTAAAGCTGCCAAAGTATTTTTGTGTCTTTAAATACTTACAAGTAAACCATTTTAGCTGGAAGCTTCATTGTCCTGAAATTCAATAGATTGGTATTCACAATACAATTTGTTGACATTAGTTGCTGGGAGAATCAGGATTTTCCCTGTGTGTCTATGGGTAAACAAAATGTTTTTCAAATGTTTTTCTGAAACAGGAGAATAATTAATTTTTCTCCACTATAAATAATCCATTCTTAAGCTGTGAGGATACATTGCAAATAAAGCTTAAAATTTAAAAGGATGTTTTTAAATTAAACTTTTAGGACGCATATGAGTCATTGCAACATCATCATAATTTCTGACTAAAACTTATTAAAAGAAATCATTTCCATACATTGAGGGAGTTGGCATAGGTATTTTTGTGACACAAAGTTGAAGGTTTATGGGAAAGTACAAAATGTAGCTGCAAGTTGTACTAGGAATTAAAGCTTCTCTCCATAATTACAAGAAAAAAACATGAAATTTTGGATTAAGCCCACAATTCAGGGCATGATTAAGATGACAAATTTTGGTTATTTATGAATATTTGGGCTATACCTAACATTATCTCTAATAGGTTCAGTCACACGTAAATAATTCACAAGAGTCATGAAAAATAGTTTGGAAGAAGCTTTTGTGTGGCTTATATTGAGTGTTAATGACAAACTGTATAATAATTATAGCCAATAGTAATACACATAAAGAATTCACAAATGTAATTTTAAAGTTGACTTAAGAGTGTGTGTTCAGGTTTGTAGTACTTATTTCTAAAAAATGAGTGCTCTGATTCTTTAGGAATATAGTACTTAACAGACTAGATAAATAACAAAATTATCAAGTGCATGTAGTACATAATCATTCTTTAAGAGACCAATGAAGCTATCTAAAAAATGCAATATTGGATCATGGTTACTTAGGTACCAGAAGCAATATATGAAGATGACAGAATATCATACAAAAATAGCAGTTTGAAACCATAATATATCATTTAAAAAAATAGAATATACTTTAATTTTCTGAACGATATTCTATATGTAGTAATTTATAATGGAAATCAGATTTGGGTTTTAATTATGTTTTAAAAATATCAGATTTTTTTGTTGTCTAGATCATTTCAGATAATTTTTTAAACCACAAATAGTTCATAATTTTAAACAATAATTAAGTCAGAGTATGATACTTATAAATTTGTGGCTTATCCATATCATCATTGATTTGATAATTGTTTTAGATGTAATGGTCATTAAAAAAAGTCAGATCTTATTATTTTCCTACTATACAGCTATGTGTTAAGCATGTAGATTGAAAATTATTTATGAGATTATCACGAAAAAACAATTACCTCATAATATTAGTAATTTATATTGGTAGGAGCCTTTCTCTTCTTAAGTACCAATTGTACCCCCCACAGCCCAGAAAATTGATTTTAGGGCTAATAATTTAAGCATTCTTGATCGGTGTATGCTGTGTGTCTTTTACATTCATTAGCCCTTGTTGTTTGTGAATATGGAATTTGGTTATTAAAATGGTTTCATATGTTTACTATGTATAGTCTTTAGCTTTGAACTCCTTGCTTGCTTAAATAAATGTTTTCAATTTGTATAATACAACAATTTGTAGAGAAATGCTGTGAAGCGTAGTTAAAAGAATGAGTCCTTGAAATAGAATCACTTTTTTAAAAATATATCCTGACATGTGGTCTTATTTTTCCATGTTTTGTATTAATTAAAATCCTACTCTGAAAAAAAAATATTTTTGCCTAAACTTTCGAATTCACAAAATAAAAATACCAAATATATAAATGTACTAATTTTGGAAATCAGTGACGTAAAAACATGCTTTAGTACTGTCTTGGTTGTTTATTCCAAAGATTTTTCTCCAAAGAAACTCTTTGTAAGATAATGAGAAAATGTTGCTACTTTTAATTATTAAATATTCTGTGCAATACATGTTTTAAAAAATGTATTATAAATAAAACTAATTTTATATTCTTTCTAATCATATTCCTGTCACATGCACACATAAAAAATGCTAGCACATGAAATGTTTGAAAAGAGCATGTACCATTTCACATTTTTATTTGATTTATTAAAAAAACATTTTATTCAGAATAGATTATGACAGAATTAGATAAAAAGAGAGGAAATGATATTTGTGTGTTTATTTTAATAGTCTAATATCATATATGTAATTAATTCTTCATCTTTCAGATGTTGGAGTTAGTAATGAAAGAGACCAACATTCAAATATAAAGTCTTTCCTATAAAACTCTTTTTTTTAAATGTAAAAAATTGTCAAATGGTAACAGCTCTACTTTCTACACCAGGCAAACCTACTGTTGAGTTAGTTGGCTCTGATTCCGATGGTCTCATCAGCTTTCTGAATGTAGGTTCCTCAGCAGTGCCTCTTCCAAGATAACAAAATCAACTTTTAAAGATTAAAAAATATATTTTGGCAATTGAAACTCACCAGTGCCTTTCTGCTTCTCCAGGAAGTTGTACCCTTCAGCACCTGCTGAGGGCTTTGTTGTCCAAACCCTGACAGGTAAAAAAAATTCCTGTAGAATAAAGCCAGACCAGCTGGCTTTGAAGAGAAACCCCCCAGTTTGGGCTGCGTTTGTCTCTTCTCCTTTTCTATGAAGACCCAGGCTTTCCCCCCTTGATCGTCAAGCCGTAAGATGCGTGATCCCTGTGCACAAGTGTCTGGCAGGCCGAGGTGCACCTGTTCCTGTCACTCTGGGGTAAATTTAGCTGTAAAGGTATCACTGACAACCAGACCTTTGTCAGTGCTGGCAAAAGAACACAGAATTGCTTCCCTCCCCTCCCCCTGCCAAGCCCCTATGCTGCTAGTTCAAATGGAAAATATCAAATTGGAAGCCTATCCAAAAATCATTCCTAAAAAATGAGATTGCTTTCATATGGTAAAAAAGTAAGTTTCCTCATTTCACGCAGACTTTAAAATTACATTTCCAAGAATAATCTTGGAACAAGACAAGTTTTTGTTCAATTAATTGTGGCTGGAAACTTTTTAATGGAAACATAGCACACACTTACTTCATTTCACATTATTAAATTGTGTTAAGCGTTAAAGTTAGTTGCCTTCTTTGCTGTAGCTCATTTGTTCTTTTCGATCCAGAGAAATATTAGAAGGTTAAAACTTATCACATAGGAGGGATTAATCATGCTACCAAAATTAGACAGCCTGTAGTTCTGAGAGACTGAATGTCAAAATTGTGTGCTCGTAGCCCTTAAACTATTGAGAATCTAGGACCCCACTACTACATCTAAAATGACAGTTAATGTCGATGGAAACCCTGGATGTTTAGGAGCTGGTGAAGCTAGAATTCTTACTCTTTAAGGTAAGGACATTTATCATGTGTGTGAATTTTTTTAGATTAATTTCTTTATTGACAGTTTGAGAACAACTCCTTCTGAAGGGAAATAGAGAGGCAGGCAGTATCCATTGATATGTCTGACATAAATAGTTGTTAAGATATATAAAGTAGCCCAAGGAGTAATGTATTTAAAGCATTCTGAGCTTCTGCTTTGATAATTATGATCTCCTAAGTGGTATTAGAAAGAGTTGTGCAAAGTACCTGTTCTACCATATTATTGCTGTTTACAAGGTTTGGGTATGATGAGAAAAAGAAATCTGGGTCAAAATAAAAAATGCTTTGTAAAATAAACAAAGTTCCTATTTACTTACTATGTATAAACAGCCACTCACCAAGCCTCATTTCTCCGCAGGGCACCACTTTCAGATAAAAACATAGACCTGAATGGCATCATCCAGTATCCAAGGAAACCACGTAAGTACCTCTCTCACTGTGTACTTCTCTTATTCAGAGTTTAAAAGCTAGCTGAGTACCGAATAAGTGAGTGTTTTTATTTAATAATTATACGGGAGGTACTTTTTAGGAGCTTGCTAAAAAGAAGCAGGTTCTTGATTGTTACGTGCGTCATAACAAAACCCTTATGTTTTCATCATATTTCATAAAATTATGTGTTTAGTCCCAACCTCTCCATCAATTCTCATTCTTCGGTACAAAACAGCTACTCAAAGTCATAATGAATTGAGAGTTTCAAACTTTTCCAAGACCCAATAGTGTCTGAGAAACAATGTTTCAGAGGCCTTATGCCAGGAGTAGTGACCTAATTGTAATAGAAACTTTTTCAACTTTAAAAATTAAGAAAAAATTGATTGGAAAATAACACTTTGTTGGTAAACATTTATAGCGGTTTATTTGGTTTTAGACTTTCTTGGGGAGTGAGCAAGTGAGCAAAAAGGTGAAGTTATGGATGCAAGGAATCTTGAAAGCAAGCGTAATTTTTAAGATGTGAAAGTCTGTTTGCAGAAAGGGTTGAAAAGTTGGCATATTGTGTTCTTTCTTTTTTTCCCCCAAACTCATTAGCTTGTAGCTAATTTCTATAGCTAATTTTAAGGTTCTAATTAATTTTTGGAACCATAGAATCTGTTGAATCTACTGTAGAAATTATTTGCAAACAATACTATTCTGGACAAAGATCCACTTTACAAATATTTGGACTATTGTATTAAGAACTTCTCTACTTGGACTTTATTATTTTTTTTCTCATTTGCATTCTCTACTTTTAAGGTTAAATTATTTTCGATACTAAATAATTATTCATTGTTGTTTACTTTTTCATGAAAATACTTAAAACTCTATACTCATATAATTGTAGATAGCTTTTTTTCCTTTTTTTACTATCTGGATCAACTATATGATTTATCTAGTCTTTTAAATATAGACATACTACTGCTCGTCAAGGTTTTCAGGAGTTGCACTTAAATGCATCTGGTTTAGCCCTGTTTAGAAGTTTTTCATATGCTTTTCATTTACTTTGTTGCTCTTGTTTTCTGTCTTTCCTTTGCAGCATGGTTCCTTGCTAAGCATAAATGGTAGAGATGATCTCATTCAGTTTCTTCGCTGAATTAGACAGACCCTTCCTATTCAGTATCTCACTGCAGGAGCATTTCACTTTCCCATACGAGAATGCAGTATTATTTATGCCTTTCCATGTTTCTGTCTTTTTACATATGTTACAAAATGCATCTTTCTGAATTGAGAGATGAAAAGTTGTGTTAGACTAAGGAATCTGTTAGTACTTTGGAAGAGTGTAAGAGCCTCCTCTCCTGGTAGGAGGACCTGACTAGGAAGTGAGTTTTCTTACGCTAGTTAACAAACTTCACAAGTGTGGAGTTCGAGGCCTGAGGTACAGCCCTCTAAATAGGAATTCCTTGCCACAGAATAAATGTTGGGCCATTGCTGGTAAGCTTGAAAGCAGCAGGGTTAGAACAGGTCTTTATAAAGAATAAAAATATGAATCAAAAGGGAAGACGACAGGCTAATGCCATAATTCCCTGTCTTGAGCAGGTGGGATCTTCTGAATTCTGTTCTCCTTGTGGCAGAGGAAAAAGAAAATGTACACTGCAGTGTTTGTAACACAATTTTAAATATTTGCATGAGAATATAGATTTTCCAGAAAAGCAATTTAAATTTTATAAGTTTAATTCTGTCTCTTATACTAAAGGAAAATGACATGACAGAAATATTGATATATGCACATCCATTCCTCAGTGCTGATTTCTCTAACAAAGACCATCATTACTTGATCAAACTTTATGAGACAATAGACATTGTTCTATATCTGCCCCGTCCAGTATGGTAACCAGTAGACACATGTGGCTGGTGAGCATTTAAAATATGGCTAGTATGACAGAGAAACTGAATTTTGAATATAATTTAAATTTAATTGATTTAAATTTACATAGGTCACATGTGACTAATTGGCAGTTATGCAGGTATTTTGCTTTTATCAGAAGTTATATGTAACAAATCATTGAACACTACATTAAAAACTAATGTACTGCAATACAGTGGCTAACTAAACATAATAAAAAATAATAACAAAGAAATTAAAGTACCAAGCAGTTTCTAATTATTTGCTATTCTATCATACAGTAACAATTTTTATATTTTCTTTAATGTTTGAATTATCATTGCAGTGGAATCTCTTTATAACTCTTTCTTAGAGATGAATGCTTTTAATACTGTTGATGGGAAGACCTTATAATTTTGTTTTATAAGCCTGGGGTAGCAATTTTTAAAATGGACATTATAAGCAAGACTGCACCTAAAAACAAAGACACTCCAATGAAAGTTGTAAAAATGATAATAAAGATTTTGAAAAGTTCACTTACAATTTCTTTTTTTTTTTTTTTTTTTAATTTATTTGACAGGCAGAGATCACAAGTAGGCAGAGAGGCAGGCAGAGAGAGAGAGGAGGTAGCAGGCTCCCTGCTGAGCAGAGAGCCCGATGTGGGGCTCGATCCCATCGAGCCGATCATGAGATCATGACCTGAGCCGAAAGCAGAGGCATTAACCCACTGAACCACCCAGGCGCCCTCACTTACAATTTCTTTAATGCATCTTGCAATACAAAATGTAACCAACCTACAAACATGCTCACTAGCCTTGAGTCCCTAAAGCTAATTTTGCTGCCAAAGCACATATCACATTTTAAATCATATTTTCAAGCCATGCTCCCATGGCCTTTTTAGGCATTTAGTGAAAATGGGCATTAGGATATATCATGATATCTTAAGAATATTACTAGTACAGTAATATTATAGACAGAATTATTAGCTAAAAATATACTGAGAATTAAAATTTACTTTGACTTTTTTTTTTTAGAGTCAGCAAATCAGCTCATTTCTTGAGTAAGAAATGTAGGCTATAGCTTATTTATAAGATACTGAACTAGAGACCATGAGGAATTTTTAAAAATGGAAGGTGTAACATTCATCTTTTTAGGAGATCCATTTATTGGCTTTGTACATATCCTCTTGAATGGGTAGGGCTCAGATAAGAGGAGAAAGGAGACTTCTTTCGGCAGAACCTCGGACAAGCTACTCACAGTGTCCCTCCTACCGCAAAACAACTAGATTCTGGTTGTAATGTATTTCTGATGAATTATTTGAATGGGGAAAAAATATTTGGACATCTCCCTGACCTCAAAACCAAATGTGTGTGTGTGGAAGGTGGAGTTGTGACAGTGAGCAAGCAGGAAATGTAGGAATGGCAAGATTGAATTGGTTGAATTGTATAGCAGGGATGCTGTTGGAAGGGCAGCAGTCATGTGCTTTTTTAGACTTCTCATAAACCTAACCTTATTAAAAGAACAGGAAGACATAATAACCACACCTGTAGATCTAGGTTTTTGGTCTCCTTTGATGTCTTTTTTGTCTTCAGTTGGTAGTCAACCACTTGTATACTGCTAGGTCTATTTTCAGAAGGAAGTTCTATCCTTGCTAAAAAGCCAGTATTCTGTGTGGAGAAAATATAGTCTTCCATTAAGGGAATGCTACAAATCACAGTCCTCAGTGTCCTCATAAAGCATCATCTCTGATATCTCCATGTCTAAGAAATAGTTTTTATCATGGCCTCTGACTTCTGAGTCCTAAATCACAGCCTTAATTTCTTACGTATTTATAGATGTATTTCTAATTTACTTAACTAAATTTTTATTATGAAAATTTGAAACATACTAAAAACTAGAGAGAATGGTATAATGAACTTTCATACAGCTACAACCTACCTTCAACAACTATCATCTCATGGACAATTTTGTTTCAACATATCCCTTATTTCCATTTCCTACCCCCACCCCAAATTATTTGGAAGCCAATTCCAGGCATGACTTCATTTCAATCAGCAGATATCTTTATAAGATTAGGACTTTTTTTTTTAGGACTTGTTTTTTATTTTTATTATTTTTTAATTTTTATATTTTCAAAAGATTTTATTTATTCATTTGACAGAGATCACAAGTAGGCAGAAAAGCAGGCAGAGAGAGAAGAGGAAGGGGGCTCCCTGCTGAGGAGAGAGCCCAATGCAGGGCTTGATCCCAGGACCCTGGGATCATGACTGGAGCCGAAGGCAGAGGCTTTAACCCACTGAGCCACCCAGGCACCCCTAGGACTTGTTTTTTAACTGAAAAAATGAATCACACATAAGAAATGAGTCATACATAACAGTCAATATTTTCTTATTATTTTTATCAAATATGCACAACCAATATTCAGATTTTCCAAATTATCCCTTACGTTTTTACAATTACTTTTTACTATTTGAAACAGAGTACAAATAAGACCCATACATTGCAATTGGTTATTTCTCTTCTCTTTTACTCTCCAGGTTTCCCCTCCATCTATTTTTCTTTGTTTGTTAAGGAAACTGGATTATTTGGGTGGTAGTTTGTATTTGCTGATGCCTTCCTGTAGAGTTGTTTAGACTAAGCTCCTCTGACCCATATCTTTTCTACTAATTGGTAATTAAGATTAGGAACTTGACCAAATGCATTTGGAGGAGGCTGAGCAAGACTACTGGTTCTCTCTCTTTTTGTGATGTTAGCAGATATTGATCATTGTTTAGATCTATTTATTCCTTAGAGTTAAGGAATACCCAGCCTTGGGAAGTTTCCTCACACATTTGCCCAGATCAGTACTCTGCTAAATTCTCAAGCAGGACCCTGCAGGTCTCAGGACATCTTTCTCTATACAGCAGCCCTTTGCCAGGTGCCCTGTCCTGTGAATGATAGCTACCCTTGCACTTACCCTTGCACACTTTCAGACCTGCTTTCTCAACTCAAGGAGTTTGCCTCTCTTGAGTTACCCTCCCTGTGACTCTGCTAAGAAACCCTCAAGACTGTAAGCAGAGCAAGCAAAAGATTTACCTCCTTGGCTTCTCATTTCTTAGGGATTTCTTTGTTGCCTGATGTCCATG